GGATCGGATCGAATATCTATGGATATTTAAAGAAAATCCATATATTCAATTTTTCACACATCGAATCCGATATTATACCTAAAAAAATTTGAATATCTGAATTAACGGATCAAATCGGATCAAAAAATTAAATATCCGTTTAAAATGGAGTGGATTGCGAATACCTAAACTTTTCAAGATATTCGTTCCGTGCCCAGCCCTACAAGTACAACAGTTGGAGAAAAAAAGTATATGGGTCAAAGTCAAAGGAAGATAAAGCAAAATAGAAAGGGAATGTTGAGTATCGAAGAAAAGACTCTATGCTTTTTGACCTAAAGACTTCCTTTTTAATTTTTACTAATTTTTAAATTGCAAAAGAACTTTGGGAACCCCCGGTTTCTTAAAGTTTGGTGAGCATTCAATTTTCAGTTAAGAATAAAAGATTCAAAAAAAAAAAAAAAACGTAAGGCGTAAGAAGATAGGCCATACACAATCTGTGGTCGATGTCTTCGGGTAAGAAACATATTTTTCGTGTGTTAATGACATAAATCGACGTTTACAAACTTCAAAAATCTCAATATTAATGAAACAATTGAACATTTTAACCAGACCCTAATAATAGTGCTATCTAAACCTTAAAAGTTAAAACGAGACTAAATTACGTATAACGTCTTAGCTCTTGTGATGATGTTAGTTGGAAGCCTAATGGGAAAAAAAACAAAAATACTAGTATCATTTATTTAACTGAAATTAAAGCCGATTGATAACCGTTAATCGTTTTGTTGTCTTCTAATGAAGTAATGAGCAAGAGTCCATTACATATATATTTCACTAAATTGTCCAATAATCACAAGCCGACATACGTAGACCAATATATATATAGATGATTCTCTTTTAGCATTTTAAAGGTTAATTATTCTCATTAATAATCATCAAACCTTGATGTCAAATAGAGTAGTTAAATTACAACCTGATTTATCTAGTGAGCATTAATAAACCAAATGCATATAGAAGATCAGTGCACGATGATCTTATGAAATTTGCGTATTTCATGTTTGTTGCAGTCGTTCGTCGAATCTCACTGGTCTGAACATTGTGTGAGTAGTTAAGAGTTTAGGAACTGTTTTCAATTAATTTCTGGGGTTGAATTTGGATATACATATTTGCTACAAAAATATGTTGCAATTCTCGGTCCAAAAGAGTTGTACATACTAAATCAGACTTCCTCTGTTTAAACAAAAAAAAAATTTGAAATGTTGAACTATATAGAAAATGTAGCAAAAAAAAACTACATAGAATCCATATGCTACTTAAAATTTATATATGATTGATTTCTGATAGAAGGAGAAAATTCAAACAAAAATAAGTGGAAGAAAATTAATAAATAGCAAAGGTCGTAGGCTCCGGTTCTTCGGTTAGTTTAATTTGGAAGTTAACCAACACACATATACATACATGCCATTTAAAGATTAAAGTAATTCAAGAGCACATATTGGGGTCTAGTGTTCCGTGAAATAGCGAGGATCACGGTAACTATATATGAAAAGACTCGAAAACTATTTAGAAAACAAACTTCCTGGTCTTCTGGTTATTTATCCAATTTGCTCTCCACTTTAGGGACATAATAAATTTTTACTATTCATCGAAACCCCCAAGTTCAGTTATATAACATGTACAGAGTTTAGTTTTCTTTAAATTAGATAGGTGTTTTTTTTTCCTTTAAGAGACGATCATTCTATATTTTTTATTTATGATTTTAGTCATCTAATTTTTGGAACAAATTACATGAGTGTAAAGAAAGAGCCACATCAAGTGAACTAGATAATAAATCGAATCTTCCGTTTCGATTTAGTAGAGATGTTGTCCGTGAACTTGTTTAGCCACGACCGCTTTTACCACGATTTGTGTTTTTTCTATATAGTTAGAGGTGAAATGTGAAGATACAATTTATCTATAAAGTGTTTTTAAAAGTTAAATAGTTCAACTCATGTACAAAGTATTTTTTGGTGTAAATTTTAATTTCATTAACTTAAATTTTCGGGATACATCAAAAAGAGAGAACAATCGTTGATGCTTAAATGGAGAATTCCAAGAATACCATTACTATATATATAGATATCATATTTAAAAATGTTACTATTTTTAATGTTTATTTTTAAAAATACCACTATATAGTTGGGGTAATTACAAAAATGCCACTTTTTGTGTGCACATTTGCAAGAATGCCACTTAGGGGTGTCCATTTACAAAAATGCCACTAATTATAGATTTATAAAGCCTATATCTTAAAATTCTAAACCCTAAAAAATGTTTTGACACCTAAAACCCCATAAACACTCAAAACTAAACTTTAATAGAACATAATTAACCCAAACATAAATAATATAAAGAAAAAATAATTTTGAAAAAGTGGTATTTTGTAAAGATTTCAAAAGTGTGGCATTTTTGTAAAGTGACACTTGAAAAGTGGCATTTTTGAAATTTCTCTATATAGTTTAGTAAGGAGATGACCAAACTACTTTTAGTTATATGTAAACATATCATCAACCCCAAAAAGAAAAAACTAATCTAACTAACCTATATTGTTCTGGGTCCAATTTTGAATCCTATACAATTGAAATTCGGAAT